TGATTACTCTTTCCTCTTCCCGCTCATTATTAATGTTTCTGTTCCTAATTCTTCCACACCCGGTAAACCCTTGTGTCTTAGTTTCTTTAAAGCCTTGCATGGGGTGAAACGGATTAAAAATATATATATACACGACGGTCCCCAAAAATGTACTCATTTTTTACACGACAATATATGCAGTGTTTATTGACTTGTAAACAAGATGGCTGCTTAAAATTAAGACATATTGATTTTGAATGACTTACAAAGGAGATTAACAGTTTAAAATAAATATTAAGTGAAACCAAATGCATGGATCTGAAAATAAATTCAATAAAGTTATTGGGAGTCAAAAAGTGTGTGCATTTTTGGCAGACACCCTGTATATGCATCGATACTTTCATATATATATATATATATATATATATATATATATATATATATTGTGTGTGTATTTAGCCAGCATTTTTTCATTGATGCATGTTCATTAAATAATATAGACAAGTGTTGTCTATTTATTTTATGTAAATTCTTTTCATATCATCTGATAAGCTCAATAACATTATCATTAAATGAAGAAAGAAAATCACAATATTGATACATATTTTTTAATCCTATCTAAGCTTTCGGCTTACATAAGCCATTATGAAAGATGGCAATTACAGTGCAATATATTAAGCAATATACGAAAAAAACAATAATGATAGTCTGCTTTTGTTTACATGGATGATTTCTAGCAACGATAAACACGTGCATATAAGACGTTTGACTATATTATTTAGTGAAATATATATATATATATATATATATATATATATACTTAGTTGTATTGAAGTCAGTTGTATTTATGTATACATACATATTACACACACAGACACACACACACACACATATATTTAAACATATATTATTGAATATAACAGATAATGAATATCTGATCATGAGCCATTCTAATGTACGTATGTTTGCTGTAATTTCTGGTGAAAATAGACAAAAACTGTCCAGCATTTGGATATTTTTTATTAAGCTGCTCTTTGATCTAAGCTTTCGGCTCACATGAACCATCTTCCGAGTGGTTATATGGACTTTTAAACAAAGATATTCACCATCAGAGATTATATTCTTTTATGTTGACATAGAAAATTGCTATGCGACGTAACGGTCGTAAGGCAGACGCAGATCGTAAGCACAAGATGCGGTTCTATGACGTCATACCACGTAAGAGACCATAATATTAAGACCATATGCCTCGATGCAATGTAATGTGTTGTGGCTGCTTTGAAATGCATTTTTGTTGCATGTGGGTTGCTTTGTTTTAATGTACATGGCCTCCAATATCTAAAGGTTCTTTTTACTGTGTATATGTGTGAGTATTATTGTGTTATCAACTGATATCTGTCTAAAATTGTGTACATGGCTGTGTTTTTCTAAGAAATGTTCCTTAATAGAACTAAAATCAGAAAGGTGACAGGTAAGTCTACGGGAGAGCGTGGTTATATATACATATATATATATATATATATATAAAGATAGATAGATAGATAGATAGATAGATAGATAGATAGATAAGAACAGACATAGATAGATAGATAGATAGATAGATAAGAACAGACAAATAGATAATGAACCGAGTGTGATAGCTAAATTGATAGCTGGTTATATAGCTAGATAGATAAGATATTCTGAATATATATATATATATATATATATATATATATATATATATATATATATATATATATATATATATATATTATGATAAACAATCAATTTACAAATTCATGAGGTTTTTATATTATTTGAATTGTTTGCGATGATGGATTTCTCGCCAAGTAAATCATTAACCTTTTGCATTTGTTTTTGTGTGAATAATTATGAATATATATATATATATATATATATATATATATATATATATATATATATATATATATATATAAAACAATGAATAACCTTTCAGGCGTTCACGATTGCTTAAAGGCATGAAACATATAGTAGTGGTTGGACTGCGTACACCTTTCTTTTTCTTTCTCCATGATTTTCTTTCTGGTGTGCATATACGGCAGACTCATATATATATATATATATATATATATATATATATATATAAAATCCTGGTAAGCCAGCACCTACCTACCTAGGTTTCACATAAAGGTATCTTCAGTCTAAGCTAGCCAGCTTACCCTGAAGATCTATTTAGGTGAAACCTAGGTAGGTAGTTTCTGGCTCATTAGGACTTTTTTATACTCTGCTCTACTTAGCGTATTGAGCACTTTACGTTTTTTCCCATGTGACTCAATTGTTTTTTTTTCTATGGACGAGAAATTACGACATTGGACGATTTTTTTCGGCCTACTCGAATGTTTTTGGTCTTTTCTTTTTGTTCCAAATTTTTCGCTCAGATACCAATTTATTTTAATATATTTTTATTTGCAAATTTTACTATCCGGGTTTCTTTTTGCAGCAGTCGAGTACAGACATTAATATATATATATATATATATATATATATATATATATATATATATATATATATATATATATATATAAAGAGAGAGAGAGAGTTAATATATATATATATATATATATATACATATATATAGCTTTAATCATCTTCTCAAAACAAAACTATTAAATACAAACAAATTTTTTACTACGTTAATAAAACACCGATTAAAATAAAAATAAATAAATAAATATATAAGATAAGAAATAAAAATAAAATAAAAAAATAAAAAATAAAAATAAATACATATAAGCAAAATAATCTAACACAAATGAATAAATAAATAAATAAACAAATGAACGACTTCCGGCAAAATAACCGCCAAAACAGACTACCCACAATGCACCACTGACCCGTGTATATAAATAGACAGGAAAAAAAACAACACTCGTGGCCTGACGATTGCGTCTAGTGTTGACTTCAATGTTCACTTTTATATTTACACACGCTCTATCTCTGATATTGAGCACTTTATTCCATAAATATAACACACCTTAAGACTATATTTCTTATATATATATATATATATATATATATATATATATATATATATATATATATATATTGGACTCTCCTGCCATTTTCGACATATATGGTTTAAGCAGCTTAGTTCTTGGAAGCCGTAAGGATGTTCTACAAGTGAGAAGCGCAAAAGAAGGAACTGTTAACATAGAACTTACGGTCGCATCTAGTTATTTCTACATTAGAATGATGAGACCTTGCTGCCAATTTAGTACTGCGCTTAAATTCGTAAAGTCTCGGTACCACAGAGGAAAGTTCATCTGAACAGTTACCATGAAAATCTTTATAGAAAAGGCAAAGGGAAGCTACTTTATGGTGGTGGGAAAGTGACTGAAGCCGAGATGCCAGGTCAGCATCAGTAAGATTGCAGATTTTTCTTTGGGTTTCATCAAGAATTTCTAAATCTACAGCAGAAGTAGCAGACCAGATGTGGCAGCAATATTGAATGTATGGACGAATGGTAGACTTATAAATATGTGAGATAGATTCTGCAGAGATAAAAAAATTGCCTAGCACGACACAGTGAACCAAGTTTCTTAGCAGCAGACGTAGCAGTAAATTCAATATAATCTTTCCATGTCAAAGGTAAACGTTAGTCTTTGAAGGCGCAAAGTGTCACTATTTTTGAGGTTAACATCAGTCATGCTGATGAAAAGCAGAAAGAGTTCTTTCAGATGATTAATAAAAAGCAGTTTCGTTTTGGAGGCATTAAAATTCTGCAGAGGGATACAGGAAGCCGAGTCTAGTCACCGTATAGTTTTCTGACTCTCCCAGCTTTGTTTTCACTGTTAGTATCCATACTAATATGGAAAAGAATGAAAATTTCCAATAATATAGGCATTTATTTGGACGATCTTGGAAACATGAGAAGTGAATGGCAATTTAACTTAGGATGAATAGGGTACATTGGGTGAAAGACTTTCAGAAGCACTGGTCTATTTTGAATTAACTTCACCCCAGACTGCAATTGGAGCTTATTTATACGATTCATCCCTAAAGTTCCTGAAAGCATTTCAGAAAGTACCAGATTCCTTCTGCCCTGCTTTATCCTTATAAGAGTCCGATCTGACCCCAAAATGGAGTATTTCTGCCATAATGGGAGCAGGAGCTATACGATCCTCTATTCCCAGCCAGAACACAGTTCAAAACCACATATGCAATTTTGTTGTCAATGAATTATTTTTATCCTTAGGGTCCCATTATAACAGAAGACACTTCGCAAGCCAATTGCTATTCTATCATCATTGACATGGCAAATGTTTAGGGAAGTTACATTCCTTAGTTCCACCAGTTCAGACCTTCACACCATTTGTTGTTTTCAACCCTACATCCCCTTTCCTCACAGGCACAATATCACCTTAACTATGACTATGACTAATCAATCATTATTTCTGAGAAAACAAGCTACATTCCTTAATTCTACCAGTTCAGACCTTCACAGCTATGACTGGCGATGTGTTGTACACAGGAGCATGCCATCCTCAGTATAAAAGTAACAATATGATTGCAATTTGTTGATTGTGCAAATGATTTTGAATTCTATCAAGGTGCATTTCCAGACCAAATATGACAGTATAAATTCCATTTTGGGTTTAGTCTGACTCTTGTGATGATTAAACATGGCTGAAGGCTGAGGCAATGTTGTGTCTGTGAGGCAAGGGAATGTAGGGTGGAAAACAATAAACACTGTGAAGGTCTGAACTGGTGGAACTAAGGAATATAACAAGTGACCTCTCCAGGGTCCAAGCCTGAGCAGTGGTATAAGAGTTTTGCAAGCTTTCCAGACAACATGGTCTTCCACTTCTCAGGTATATTGACAGGGAATATAACAATTGTTTGTAAGTATATAATATGTCTTTGTAGAAGCTGCTATTGGTTAAATTTTGCTTAGTCTGGTGTGAGGACATTGTTATGAGTCACCCAGTGAGGATCAAACTAGAGATGAATAACAATCTGTAAAGCCAACTAACAATTGTTTGTAAGCATATAGATACATGCAAACACACATATCTATCACACTCACTTCATATCTATCTATCTATCTATCTATCTATCTATCTATCTATCTATCTATCTATCTATCTACTTCAGTGTATTCATATCTATTTCAGTGCATTCATATCTATCTATCTATCTATCTATCTATCTATCTATCTATCTATCTATCTCAGTTCATATGTATCTATCTAGCTCTGTTCATATGTAACTTATTTTCCGCTATGCACACATTTTCCCCCCACAGACATAACATATTGCTCTATCTATCTCACTTTGTCCATATCTATCTATCTATCTATCTATCTATCTATCTATCTATCTATCTATCTAAGACTGTTCATATCTATTTATTTCTCTATTTCAACCTGGTTACATCCTGTTCAATCTGTTCCTATCTATCTATCTATCTATCTATCTATCTATCTATCTATCTATCTATCTATCTATTTCAGTATCATATCTATCTATCTATCTATCTATCTATCTATCTATCTATCTATCTATCTACTTCAGTGTATTCATATCTATTTCAGTGCATTCATATCTATCTATCTATCTATCTATCTATCTATCTATCTATCTCAGTTCATATGTATCTATCTAGCTCTGTTCATATGTAACTTATTTTCCGCTATGCACACATTTTTCCCCCACAGACATAACATATTGCTCTATCTATCTCACTTTGTCCATATCTATCTATCTATCTATCTATGTATCTATCTCAGAATCATATCATATCATATCTATCTATCTATCTATCTATCTATCTATCTATCTATCTATCTATCTATCTAAGACTGTTCATATCTATTTATTTCTCTATTTCAACCTGGTTACATCCTGTTCAATCTGTTCCTATCTATCTATCTATCTATCTATCTATCTATCTATCTATCTATCTATCTATCTATCTATTTCAGTATCATATCTATCTATCTATCTATCTATTTCAGTATCATATCTATCTATCTATCTATCTATCTATCTATCTATCTATCTATCTATCTATCTATCTATCTTACTCAGTTCATATATATCTTATTTCCACTATGGAAACGTTTTCCCCACAGACACAACAAATTGCTATCATAATGCTACTTTATTAACGTTTCCACGGCAAATATTTAAATGAGTTCTGTTCTTTAGATAGAAGTGTTTAACATCTTCATAAATAATGGACCATTCCATTTTGATAGCGTGGAAAGGCGGATATGACATATCAGAGATGCTACTTAGTTTTTTTGATTGATTCATTTGTTTATGGCTTAGCAACCTTTTGCAGGTTATTTAAAGCCAGAAAATATTTTTAGATTGCAAAAATTTCTTTTTGCGGAGAAAATAATGATTTAGTCTTACTAATTAACCCATAGCTGAGGGGAGAAGAGGTGGATTCATGCCTTTCCTAAGGGTATTTGTGTGTAAATGAATATAACAAACCCAACCAGAATTAGAACTTGGCTCTCTGATTAAAAATTCTGAGCTGTTTTTCATTGCAACACCTGCCCATCCAAGTCTACACAACCTGGTATTCCCAAGTGGTTACTCATCTAGGTACTGACCAGACTCGAAGTTGCTTAACTTGATATTAATTCATTTTTCTTTAGTTATTACAATTTCAAAGAGCAATTCCCAGAAGAGCAAGATCATTCGGATAAGACGAGAGAACCCTGAGAAATTAGAAATGATAGGTTAGTCAAAAATCATGATTTTCCAAGTGAAAATTATTTGCACTGAATGTCGCAGGATGAATGCATAGTTAATATCAACAGTTAAAAATGACGGCTAATGATGGCTGGAGACCAAAAAAAAAATGACAAACCAAAAGAACCCCCCCCCCAAAATGGAATTCCTTTAGAAGTCGATTCCTACTTCATCTTCTTATGTTTATCTCATTCAGTAACCATCTAGCTTGAGTGTCTCTTGAGCCTTGCGTCAGATGAACTTTATTAAAAAAAAATAAAAATTAAAAAATTTTTTTTTTTTTTTTTACCTACACTTGAAAGAAATCTCTTTTTGGGTATTACAAGAAAATATACAACCACTTCAACCACCGAACAATACTAGAGCATTGGGGTAAAGAAGGGGTTCTTAACCTTTTGATGATTCCGGACCCCCAATGGATTGTCCAATATGGTCCCATACCCACTTCACTTGAGTGTCCAAATAATTATCACCAATCCTATTATTTGCCAGTATGTCTTCTAAAATATCAGGCAAATATCCCAGCCTAAGAATAAAATGCTCATCTTCAAAATGATTTCCATACACCCAGCATTTGGTTCCCATACCCGCAAGGGTTATGGATAAGTCCCCCCCCCCCCCAGTTAAGAATCCCTGGGGTAAAGGATGGATGAATTTTGGTTCATGGTAAAGGTATCAGGTCCCAGAGGGAAACATTTAGTCTGGCAAGAGGCTAAAAAAACAGTGACCCCATTAGGGATCGGAATCATTACACTATAGTAATTCTATGTAGAAGCTGCTATTGGTTAAATTTTGCTTAGTCTGGTGCAAGGACATTGATATGAGTCACCCAGTGAGGATCAAACTAGAGAGGAATAACAATCCGTGAATTGAACACACAATTGTTTGTAAGCATATAGATACATACAAACACACATATCTATCTCACTTTGTCCATATCTATCTATCTATCTATCTATCTATCTATCTATCTATCTATCTATCTATCTATCTATCTCACACACTTCATATATATCTGTTTATCTCTGTTCATATCTATCTGTCAGTTGATTTCTATGTATTTCAGTCTGTTTATATCTATCTATCTATCTATCTATCTATCTATCTATCTATCTATCTATTTCAGCATGTTCATTATCTATCTATATCTGTTCATATCTATCTCAGTCTGTTCATACCTATCTATATATCTATCTGTCTATTTCAGTATGTTCATTATCTATCTATATTTGATCATATCTATTTATCTAAGTCTGTTCATATCTATCTATCTATCTATCTATCTATCTATCTATCTATCTATCTATCTATTTCAGTTTGTTCATTATCTGTTTATATCTATTTATCTGAGTCTGTTCATATCTATCTATCTATCTATCTATCTATGTGAATCTGTTCATATCTATCTATCTATCTATGTGAATCTGTTCATATCTATCTATCTATCTATCTATCTATCTATCTATCTATCTATCTATGTGAATCTGTTCATATCTATCTATCTATCTATGTGAATCTGTTCATATCTATCTATCTATCTATCTATCTATCTATCTATTTCAGTTTGTTCATTATCTCTATATCTGTTCATATCTATTTATCTGAGTCTGTTCATATCTATCTATCTATCTATCTATGTGAATCTGTTCATATCTATCTGAATCTGTTCATATCTATCTATCTATCTGAATCTGTTCCTATCTATCTATCTATCTATCTCTATCTATCTATCTATCTATCTATCTATCTATCTCTTCATTTCTATCTATGCATTCAAACATAAATATTATTGGTCAGTGAATAAGTAAATTCATTGGTATTGACGTTGGTTGCCATCCATCGTTCATTTATTCCTGTCTCTCCCCCCCCAACCACCACATCCATTCCCTTTCGTTCATTTGTACGCAGAGATCAAAGTTAGGAATTCCCCTTTTGTCTCTGTGCTTCCAAAAATAGTTTTTTCTTTCTTTCTTTCCACTTGTGCATGGATGTGCGCGTACAAGTGCACCTCATTCCCTTCTCTCCATCAGCCTGCATTCTGGCATGCATTGCGTGCAAACGTGCCAGTGTGCAGAGAGGGAGGCAGTGGGTTGGGAAGTAAGGTCATGAATGGAATGAGAGAGAGAATGAATGGAATGACAGATGAATGAACAAATGGAAGAAAGGAAGGAAGGAAGGAAGGAAAGGAAAGGAAAGGAGAAAGAAAGGTTGAGAAAGCTGTGAAGAGAACCACTGGAAAGAGAGAGAGAGAGAGAGAGAGAGAGAGAGAGAAATGGGGGGGAGGAGAGTCGAGTCAAGCGTTCCAATTTCGGGGAAGCTCCTTGCTTGCTGCGTCGGTGTTTGCACTTACCCACTCCCCTCCACCCTGTTGATGAGCGCGTCAACGCAGACTGCTTCTTTTGAGGTACATACGTACGCGAACACGTATGCGTCTTCTGTGTGCATCTGCGTTAGGGGGAGTGGGTGGTAGTGACAGTTTCACGCACTGCACTTCAGTGCATTGTATTTTTTTATGTGCAGTCAAAGGTTAGGTCTTTGCCTGCAGGATCAGTGTCTTGTTGTCAAATTTTAAGACTTTGTTTATGATAGGCTTGACCCCTCCTTGTCGGGTCAGTCTATCAATGTATTTCTGCTTGGCTTACATATTTAGAAAAGATATTTGTAATTTAGTGCATTTTCATGACATTAACTATGCATGTCATGGTTTAGTACTAGTGAACTTAATGTAAACAAGTGGGTCTTTGCTAAATTATGTATATACAGTTTATATATATATATATATATATATATATATATATATATATATATATATATATATATATATATATATATATATAAATATATCCTTTTTCACTTTTTAAATGCTATTTTTAGTATATACCCTTATTGAGTAGACTTTCTATTTATTTAATAACCAGTATTTTTATTTATTTTTATCTACCAGCCTGAATATTTGAGAAATATTTTTATGCAGAAAGATGCGTCCTTGAACCCTGACAGAGGGGGGCATCTTTTCCTTTCATAAGATTTCCTGAATATTAAGGCCAGTAGATGAAAGTAAGTAAATTTACTGTTTAATAAATAAATGGAGCATTTATTCAAATATGGGTATGCACTAAAAAGTAACTTTTTAATTGATAAAATCTGTCGAATTAATAAATAAAGAACCCATTACTTTTTAGAAATATATATATATATATATATATATATATATATATATATATATATATATATATATATATTTTTATATGCACTGTACTTACTGGAAAGCCCTCAATATCAGTGATAGAGCTAACATAAATTGTATGAATATATATCCATACAACTTATTATATACATATATATATATATATATTTATATATATATATATATATATATATATATATATATATATATATATATATATATATATATATATATATATATATATGAGGATATTTTTATTAATAGGGTCTTCAGATTTCAACACACACACTTATTTACACACACATATATATATATATCTAATTTGTATATATCTAGTTTGTATACATGTATACATATAATATATATAATTTGTACATATATAGTATATATTAGTACATATATATATATATATATATAATTTATATTTATATAAATTGTATATATAGAGATAATATCCATATATTTAAAAAGGAGTATATACATATATATAGCTTGTATATAAATATATGTCTAACTTGTGTATATATATATATATATATATAATTTGTATATATAAATAAGTACTTATACAATTGTTATATGAAATAATTTTTCATATATATGTATGTATATATATATATATATATATATATATATATATATATATATACATATATATAATTTTCTAAATAAAATTTATATATAGGCAGAATTTGTGCTAATATATATATATATATATATATATATATATATATAGTAAATCTATTTAAAGTCAGTGGTTGAAAAAAACCTGGATAGCACAATTTTCAAATAAATTGGCATCTGAGGAAAAATGGATAAAAAAGAAAGCAGCAGAAATCTCGGAACAGGATGAAAGAAATCATCCAGTACCTCAAACCTCTGGTACAAAGGAAAAAATCCCAGTACATAATAAGTTAAAGCAAAGAGTGCTCAATACATTAAGTATTGCGAAAGTAAAATAAATAGATCCTAATTAGCCAGGTACTACCTACCTAGGTTTCACTATATGGGATCATCAGGGGGAACTGGCTTTAGGATGTATTTATGTTATATATATATATATATATATATATATATATATATATTGAATATGTCTATATAATTTGCATATATATAATTGCATACATATATATAATTTGTGTATATATAAATATATATAATTTGAATATAGACGTTATTTGTATACATATCATTTGAATATATACTTATATAATTCTACATAAATTGTATAAATATGCAAATTGCTATGTATATCATTTTTATATATTTATATAATTTGAGAGAAAATGACATATAAATTTTCATATCCTATAATAATATTAGGAAAATTAATAACAAAGTGTAAAAAATTTTGTCTGATTGCAAATATATGCAAATGATATATATATATATATATATATATATATATATATATATGTTAAGAGGCTGGAAAAATACTGTACCACAAAACAGACATAAATCAAAAAGTGCTTGATGCAGCTTCTTTGAAATAGAACATTCACGACAAGCAAATATAATAAATAAGCCACCTTATGTAACTGTGCACAACCTCGGCATCGGCCATCAGGTCTCTTCAGGTGGTGGGCAATAAGTGTTTGTAATACCATACTACAATTCTACAGCCATGGCATTGGAAGTTGATAAGGGAAAATTAAAGAATGAACATAGCAAAGCTCACGCATAAAATGGAGTATCTTAGAAAAAATTAAACTGTGCAGAACAAGTTGTAGATGTTGTAGGCTGTGCCAGGAAGAGAAGATGGTTATAGCAACTTATAAGAACAACAGTATGTTGTTAAATAGCAGAACTGAAATAATGTCCAGGTGTAGACATATAAATAAAAATATTCATGGTCTCTACAACCCTGGATGAAGAAATTTTTTTTTCTACACCTCCTCCCCTTCTTGACTTCGTATGGGAAAGGTATGAATCCATCTTTTCAGAAAGACTAGGTTCTATAGCTTTGGATGGCAGCTGGTCTACTTCAGAAAGAAATGGCAACCTACTGCAGGAAAAAAATCTGCCTCGTCAGTCATGTATCAAAAGATACATGATAACCTAAGTGTGTGTCACACATGGAACATAACAGACTGATATTCACTTACATACTAATACCCTTGGGAAAGGTATGAATCCTCTTTTTCTTCCCTCCCTCCCAGCTATGGGTAAATAGCAGGGCAGACCGGGTTCTATAGCCTTGGATGGCAACTGGTCTACCGCAGAAAGAAATGGCAACCTACTGTGAGATAAAATCTGCCTCGTCAGTCATGTATCAAAAGATACATAATCGCCGAAGCATTTAACTGACTATTTTGACTGTTTTTGTTGATGTTGATCCATCATCAGAAAAATAATTTTATTCATCCCTTGTTCCCTGTTTAGGATGGGGTTTTTAAAGTTCATTCTCATTTTCTTTTACTCCTAGTAGCCCCTTGAATCTTAGTGTCATTATTGCCTTGCTTGCGCGGGGGGGGGGGTGAAAAAGAATCTACATTGGCCTTTTGTTTCCCTAATCTAATCTATTTTGTTGAAATAAGATTCTTTTTCTCATAATGCTAGTTCATTAACAAAGCATATCACAATAAAAGTTGTCCATACTGTCTCGTATCCTTGTTAGGACAGCTACTAATAAAGTCCATTCGCTATATCAATTTGTCTCTCCAGAATCTATCTTACATATCTATATGTCTACCATTTGCCCACACTTAGAATATTGCTGCCAAATATGGTCTGGTGCTCTTGCTGTCTACCTCTAACTCCTTGATAGGATCCAAAGAAGAATCTGCAATATTATTGGTCATCATCTGGCAGCTCGGCTCCAGTCACTTCCCCCACCATCGTCAGGTTGTCTCTCTATGTCTTTTCTATAGTTTTTGAATTTAAGCGCAGCACTAGACTGGCGTTGAGATCTCATCAATTTACAGTTGAACTAGATGTAAATTATCTGCTAACAGTTTCTTTTCTTGCACTTCTCGCTTGTGGAACACCCTTCTGGACCCATGCTTTCCAGCCAACTTTAATCTGTAAATATTTAAATGCAATGTCAATCGCTATCTACTGTCCTCCTGATTACACTTTCCTCTTCCTGCTCATTATTAATCAAAAATTTAAATGCAGTGTCAATCGCTATCTACTGTCCTCCTGATTACTCTTCTCTCTTCCTACTCATTATTAATGTTTCTCTTCCTAATTCTTCCACACCCTGTTTCCCCTTATGTCTTAGTGGCTTTAATACCTTGCTTGTTGATCTCCCTTCCGGCTCCATGCTTTCCAGCAAACTTTAATCTGTAAAAATTTAAATGCAATGTCAATTGCTATCTACTCTTCTCCTGATTATGCTTTCCTCTTCCTGCTCATTATTAATGTTTCTCTTCCTAATTCTTTCACATCCTGTAACCCTTTGTGTTTTAGTGGCATTGCTGCCTCGCTTGGGGTGATTCTGATTAAAAGAAAAAAAAATCACCATTTTAAAGCTGAATATAATAAACATATAAGATGATTTTGACAATTTCTGCTGAAAATATAATTTTATGTTACAGAAATGAGATTTTATCAGATTTCATTCCTATTTATTTTAAAGTTTACATATCCCATAA